AAGGATATTAAGACAGACCCATATCCCCATCTGGCCTTGATGTCTGTGATAGCATTTTACTATCCCACATTATTAATTTTCCTGTATAAGGGATTTTAAAAGTATGCTAATTTGATAATACACCTGCTTTAGACTCCCTATTGAAAAGATATATTAATATTTGTTCAGTATGACTACAGGAATGGTTGAAATACACTCTTTGAACAACTTTTTCATCTAACATGGCTATTTACATAAAATATTCTACCTCAGGGGTGTCAAACTCCAGTCCTGAGGGCCGGAGCCCTGTGTAGCTTAGTGATTCAGCTGAAGCGCTGTGTGGTAATTAGCACAAGGACCTGAATCAGGTGTGTTAAATGAACCGAAAATGTGCAGGGCTCCGGCCCCCCAGCACTGGAGTTTGACACCCCTGCTCTAACTTAATGGATGCTTTCTTATGCCTGACTACTGACTACTATGTAGTCCCAGTCTCAGCCCTAGGTCAGCTTTAGGTCAGCTTAATGCTCTTCTGAAGGTCACTCAGAGTTCTACCAGATAAAATCAGTGTGCCTCTGGATGCTTAGAACATCAGTTAGTTCTCTCCTATTACTTCTTGTGCAGGACACCATATTAGATAAGCCTCTTTCTCTGTGATTAATTCAGAAAGATCGCCCTGGGAGATGTTTCCTAACAAGATTTTCAATTTGGGGTACAAAAGCTTGGTCCTTGAGAAGAAGGGGGGTGATGTTGTGTGGTCTACTGTAAAACCCTCACACATGCACTAGTAACTGCAGAAGTGCAGGCAGTTCTTCTTGAGTAGGCAAGCTGTTCCTGAACTTGAGGAAGTGGAGAACGCTGCGCGTGAACTTCTAAGGTGGATTTCTTCTTTCCTCTCTCAGAAAATTGAAAATGGACGATTCGCCAAGTACAAATATTTTGCTCATGCCAAGGTGAATGAGTCAGATTTTCTGATGATTACAAAAAGGTAGGAATTTATAAATATTTTGACTCCTTTCATGTGAAATGTGATGGTTCAGCCAAATGTTTGGTCAAGTTTTACATTAACTGCACCATTATAATGGCTTTACCCATAGAACGTTCGGTAACAATATTAATATACTTTAGTAAACGTATATGTTAATAAGCATTATAATCATGTAATGTTTGTTATTAATGAATATTAAAGCATGTTAAAGGTATGTTAGGATGTTAAAGTATACTTACATGCTGCTTATGAATGTTCTATGAATGCATTATGAAGGTGCCATTAATGTAAAGTGTTAAATGTTTTTTTTAATATTGTTAATATTAATTCTGTTAATATTTCCATAATCAGTTGCATGCTTTGTCTTGTCTTTTGCAGCTGTATATTTTTTGTAACAAAAGGAACCTTTGGACAGTTAACCTGCGAGTGGCAGTATTGTTTTGACGAGTTTACAAAAGAGCCAATCATTGTGGAAGGCAGAAGGCTGCGAATTGAAGCAAAGGTACGCAGAAACTAAATTCTATATTGATAGAAAACCAGTCAGCATGGGAGAAAGAGGGAAAGACAGTAATGAAAGTTCTAAAAATCCCTTTATAAAAATCTTGCCAATTAGTCATATTGGCTGGCTGTCTTTCAAATGTGAAAGGGACACATTTAGCCATTGTTACAGCTATTATAATTAGATGATATAGATGTTCTGTTTTGTCTTTTGTCTTGATCTTCAGGCATCATAAAGGCTCATTGTTGTGATTGAGTCCATCCGTCTTACTCATATTCATCCTCTTCCTCCATTACTTTAAACTTTTCCAAGCATTAGAATTTTCTCCACTTTATTGGAACTTCTACGATGCCCCAAATAAGGTTGTTTTGGGCTTTAAGTGAGAGCTTATGTTTGATCAAGAATCCATTTGCTTGAATTTCTTGATTTATAAGATATTCTTAATAGTCTTTGTTGCCATCTAAATTCAAAGGCATCCGTACTCTTACTGTCTTGCTCATTCTAGTGGTACATGTTGCATTTTCCTGAGGACACTGCATACAGTACTATAGATTTACATGGTCAGCATGGCTTTGTTGCAATCAGTAGAGCATAAGTTCTTCTGGCATTTGTGACGTTACCATACGCTGTCAGTCCCACATGGAATCACCATCCCTCATTATTTTCGCTTTTATCCTGGTAGGGTAGCTTTGGTCAGACTTTAAAGATTAATTCTAAGCAGGACGATCCCAAAATTATAGTTTGATTTCAAATGGTAGAAGCTCCAATGGCTTGTATATGACGTTTTCATTGTGTATGATGCACGATTTTCAGTGTTACTGTTGCTCTCCTGGTGTGTTGCAGGAAAGAGTCAAGTCTGTGTTTCATGCCAAAGAGTTTGGGAAGATTATAAACTTCAAAACTCCCGAAATTGCCAAGGTACATTCCTATCACATCATATTACTCAGAATATTTGCCATAATTGAAGTAATAATTAAGAAATGTAAGATTAGTTTTTATTATTTAGAGAGTTAAGTGAGCATTGTTTGCAGTTGTGCTTTTTTCATGTATCTGACATGGCTATATGCTTTGCTTCCGTCAACAGTGGGTTCTTGCTAAACTGGAAGATGCAAGAGAGACCCTTCCGAAGTAATAAACATGCACCCCAGCTGTCGACACTCTCGCCACCCCGATCCGGTCTCTCAGTGCCTTTTAGTATTTTGTGCTGCATGACACAATGCAAATCACCATTTAGCTCCTAACGGTAATATCTTTTTCCTTTTTTTTTTTTTTTTTTGGGGGGGGGGGGGGGGGGGGGTTGTAACCATTTTCCAAACAGCACATGCAGTTGCTAGGCAGAGGGTAATCCTTGAAATGGTTGCTGCTGACCAACCAGAATATACAATGACTGCCAGCACGGTGTCCTGTAATTTATACATAAAGTGTTTTTTCTGTTTTCTGTGTGTTGTTTTGTAAGCTATTTGGGAGTGATTCTTCTTATGAATTCCAGTTACTGTTGCTGTAATGTGTAGTGGGAGAGGCAGCCTCTCACTGTAGCCTGTCTGAATTTTTGATGTGACTTTGATTCACCCCCCCCCTCTGTCCAAACCCCTCGAGGTTTAACTCGTTCACTCATTTCACTGCCCTGTCCCATTCTGGCCAAAGGTGCGCTTTCGACGAAAAGGGACAGTCTGCATCACCTACTCAGCGTATCTGCTGGCCTGCATGCAGAGGCCGGTCTGTGGTTGATGAGAGCATGTTATTTTTCTAAACTCTTATCTTACACTACAGTTATCCCTGTATATTTTATCCAGGGCAGGTCTCCTTATATAACACAAGAATATGTACATAAAATATATATAAAAATATATATTGATATGTCAGAGTGGTCTGTGCTCTGTGCACTTGTAAGAAACATCTGTAGTCTATATGTTTTTGTATACTGATGTTCGGTATCTGGGGGAGATTGATGGTGCAAAATGTTGGTGCATTCTGGGTCCTGGGGTAGGCGGGGCTAGCTGCTGATGCTGTAACCTTTCAGTCTTGGTTGCATCTCTCTGTTTACTGTCTGTGTGAATAACACTCACTTCCTGAATGTTTCTTTGCCTTAACCGTTGAGTTAATGAACACAAGGGATGGTACTTCTGTTGGTCCACAGCTATGTTCTTTTTTTCCAATAAATTAAGGGTTATACAACCTAGAATCCACTTGTTTTGGACTCACTTGAATGCAGAATGTGTGTATTGTTGGTGGTAAGATTCTGCCTTTCAACTCCATTAATGGCGAATGAACTGCATTTCAGTGCTGAGGTACCAAAAGGGGCCCCGGAGTTAGTTAGATCTCTGTGTTCAGTAATGGTGAAGGATGCCATGATTCATTAGTTGCCATAGGGCTAGAGGCAGAAACAAGTACAATTATGGCAGTCAGAATGATGCAGGCCCTTAGGCCTCACATGCTCCCACTGTTCATTAAACCAATGTCTCTATTCCTTATCCTATTGGACTAACAGATTGCCCAGAGTATCTGTTTACAGCTCCTTATTATCAAGGCCTTGTCTATAGGCCATGCCACCTGTCAATACTGGCCCAAGGATACAGTCCATGTTCAGTCTACTTAGCCAGAACAGACAGCTGGCCTGAGAGATTCTGAATCGTCATGTTGATCATCTCTTGAGATGGTTCATGGATATTTCTATTTCGTTTTTTTCTTCATTGTCCATTAAGGAGCTTGTTCTTCAACAGGGACGCAATCATCAGTTCTATTGTTTACGCTGTTGTATTTTGTTTTCTCTGCATGACAAATTACAGTATGGAGGGCAAGGCCCTTGGATAGTACACAGTCTCAGTTGCTGATCAGCAATTTGCCATCAGCTCTCTTTACTTTTTAATTTCCCCTGTGATCTGGTACTGGATGAGTGGTTAGAGGCTGGATTGATGGATGGATGGATGGATGAAATTTTATATGGCCAAATGCTTAGAGGATGCAGTATGAATATCAACAATTAAAATTATTACAACTTGAGAGCTGTTGATGTTGAAAAAAAATCTCCCAACTGTAGCTGCAGTGAAACAAATTCTACCAAAAATGTTATTTCATGCTGCAAACCAAATTTATGACTGCAATTAAATTTTTTTTGTAGATGCATAATCAGATGATTTAAAAAAACGAACAAATTACCAAAACATGCTGCAGTACCCAGCACTAGTTAAAATAGTTGTTCTCTTCCATTTTTTTGTGGTTAATTTTTGAGTGGAGAGAATTTAAAAATAATGGCAACGAATATGTGTATTTATTTGTAAAGCAAAAGAATTCAAAATTGTTTTAAATGCTGAAGATTGAAATGACAGAATTTATAATGAACCAGATGTCTTCTCAGATTCAATGGTGCATATCTGGCTCGATTCACTACTTGTATAGAAAAACAGTTAAATTGTTATATTAGATGCCTAAAAATGTGACTACTGTAACTATTCATAACATAAAAGCCGCAGACACATACATTTATTAAATTTATTAGGAATTTCTTGAAGTGTGACATTACATAGGAATGGTGCCCAATATAGAAAAAGTATTTTATTGAAAATATCCAATAGAATTCTTTTCATAATTTAGTTAGAAAATAACTATTTACATTTACAGTATATTTGCATATTCAAATTTCCCTTTACATTTATTAAATTAAACAATTCTTTGGTACCTTTTAAATGTTTATAATTTCAGGATTCAGACAGGAAGTACGGCACCTGAGATTTTAGTGTTTTTCCCAACCTAAAAAAGTAAACATTTAGCTACATATAGCTATTACATTTCAGGAACTTGTTTATAATGCAGGATGATATTCAAATGAATAAGTGGTTTATGTTCACTAAGCAGTGGGTCTGTCTTGCCCCTGGGAGAAAGCCTGGAACCTACTGAAATGTGGCAGTCAGTGCTGTCCAGTGTCTTAGGAAGGACCACAGCAGAGCCCCTGAACCAGCTCACCCACCCATCAGGAAGCTGCCCAGGCTGGTGACAGCTCTCTCCAGAGTATCACACAAAAAGGTCATTACACCAAGACTAAAGTTCAGCATTGCTTTACATGTTTCAAACAAATAGTACGGAAATGTCATGCAAACTACGTCAATAAGTAATGTGAAGTGTCCTGTTTTAGTTCCGTTTCCATCTTCCTCATATCCATATATCTCCAGTGTCTCTCACACACTGTAACTCATCACTTACCTTCAGCTGACTCTTACACCAGTTTGGGGGACTGATTAAATATCTGAACTAATAGCTGTTAATCCACACTCTATACTCATAGTTGAGCTTGTCAGTGCTGTCTTTGTCGCTATTCAGCAATAAGCTGAGTTCATCCTCTCGCTCTACACCTCTTCTATACCAAGCTGTTTTAAGTCTCTTCTGCAAACTAATATTATCTTCCCTTGCGCCCTGAAGTGAACCTCTGGCCTTTCTTGTGGCAGAAAGAGGTCTCAGCTGCAGTCTGTTCTACACCAGGTTGAAGTCTTTGAGGTTGTTTCTCAGGATGGTGTCCTTGACGGCGGCAAAGACGAAGCGGATGTTCTCCGTGTCGGTGGCACAGGTAAAGTGAGAATAGAGGCTTTTCTCGCTCTGCTCCTGGTACATCTTCAGAATGAACTCTCTCACTGCCTTTGCGTCACTCTTGGGGCCTGGAAAACAAAAGCATAGTATTACTGAATCAGAACCAACACTCATGTTCCTAAACAGTTCAATCATTGAAATGTTCATTGAAAGTGGTGAATATAGATTTTTATGATTTTTAGATACATGAATATAAAAACAAAACTGACCAAACATCCGAGCAAAAACCTATGTCCTCCACGGGCCTAACACATTTAACCTCAGCATGCATATGATCGCAATGACACACAGGTATCTCACCAGTGAATTCTGGGTAATAAGTCACTAGATGTGAGTAGGCGATCTTCTCTTCCAAGATGTCTGTCTTGTTGAGGAAGAGAATGACAGACGACTGCTGGAACCATGGGTAGGTTATGATGGTCTTGAAAAGGGCCTTGCTCTCCTCCATGCGGCTCTGCAAACGAGAAGGCAGAGTCAGTCAATCAGGAACAGTCTGTTACCCTCTGAAGCTCAGAGGAGCAGGAACTACTGGGGTATATTAGCTACATTATTACTCAAATGCCTTTTAGACACATAATGACATTCTGCCACTTTAGATGAAATATTACGCAAATTAAATATACATGATTCCTGTGACCTCTCCAACAATCACAAAACCAATGAACAAAATCCAAAGACCTGTGGCATGAGGAAGCTGTAATAAGGTCACAATCCTTGATAATTTAGTTTTCCTTTAACATAACATTTTAGTAATATCAGAGGACACATGAATGGAATTTAATTTTAATTGCCAATGAATAGTATTGGTAACGTACATTTGACTGAACTGCAATAATTTCTTTTTATGTTTCTAATGTTCATTGCATCAGGAATCTGCTCTAAATCTAATATTTCCATTTCATGTAAATTAAGTAATAAAATCACGCAGCACAGTATGCCAGTCCACTGGAGGGCAGACGCACCATGGGCAGTGTTTTTGGAATGGGGGAATGGGGGAATGGAGGGGGGGGGACACAGATACAGGGACAACCTGCAAGCTCCACACACGCAGAGCACCAAGCAATAAAATTTGCATGTGTATTTTACATGGACGTGGGTTACAGTCTTAGTTTATTTAATTCAAACAGAACATGCTTCCATAACACAGAGTGCTTTTTACTCTTCCATCAAACCATAGAGTGAGCATGTAAATATCACAAAAGGGATTTCATGCCAGTCCATGCTGTTTAAGTGCAAAAAGCACACTGATCCACAACAGATCTCCGGTTAATCGTTCAAAGCAAATAGGCTATTTTCTATTTAAGGTGCAATTTTTTCATGTATGCAAAGTGAAAATGCCATGCATGTTTGCATCTTGCATGCATGTTTGCAAATGATATTTCATTTAAAAAAATGTGTCCTGTATGTGAGCTGGATATTCTGTACTGGAGTAGAATAAATTAGTTTAAGAGATGAGGAATATACTGCCCCCTTGTGGCATATATCCTAAAGCAGCAGGTCAGCTGCTGTTGAAGTTGATAGATGGTGTTTGAATCCCGGACTGGAAGACCAAAGAAGTGATTGTACTGAATTATATGAAAATGTAAGTACTTAAAACACGAATGCAATAATTGCATTACCATTACTTTTAATCTAGTGCAAATACAAATGCAGGAGTCCATCGACTTATGTCCGGGTTTTGCCCCAGATGTAGGTTAATATGGTCGTATCTCAATCATTATACTGAAGAGGTCAAATATACTGTGCAACATAAGATACAATATCATGCACATTTAACAACCTCTATAAACCTCTATATTTGCAGCACGATCGGTTTGCTTTGGATCTTGCCGCATGCTGCACATGTGGTAAAATATGCTAACTAACGTCCACTAAGTCTGCTTAACATGTCTCTCAATAAATTTTATTGAGGCTCTTATGGGATGTGAGAAGGACGGCACGTGACTCGATAGGACGCGAATCGATGGATGACTGTAGCTGAAGTCATACGTCTTTTATCCATTTTTCCATCTACCAAATCCTTGTGTGCCAATATTAAAACCATTCAAAATGATTACTGTTCTAATGAAACGGTAATGCAAATATAATACCTTACATGAGCAGTTTTGCCTTAGCGAGTTTTGGGTCTTTGATGTGCAGCTCCTGAGGAACTATGCTGCTTATGTCGTTTGTTATGTAACAGTGAAAAATGATGACACTGACCTCATTATCGCACTCAGCTAAGACCTGGTCATATTCACTCAGTGCAACCAGAAAGATGATAGAGGTGACGTTCTCAAAACAATGGATCCACTTCCTTCTTTCTGACCTCTGACCTCCCACATCCACCATCCTGATGAGAAGAACATGAGATTATCAAAGGATCAGTGTAAGGGGGTGGAACTAAACAAACAGATCTCCTTCAGTATTCGGCTTTGATGAAGGGTGAGCTGGGATGATGCTTGTTTCGGGGGAAACCCAGAGTATGCCAATCTGTCCTCTCATCCTGCTCTCCCTGACATCTGTGTGATGTGATGTTCACTCCCCCATTTCAAAAGCCTGAAGAAGTTTTGTAATCACCAAAACCAACCAATAAGAATGTACTTTAGGTGTCCATGTGAATGAAGACCTCAGGCTCGTACCTGAAGATGACAGTCTCCAGGTCAAAGCGGTATTCAATGATCCCTGTGGTGGCGACTCGGACTCTCAAAACATCTTGCTCGTTAGGAACATAGGAAGGCTCTGAGACGCGATCCAGGTCCGTCAGGTAACTGTGGAACACAGAAATGAAGTATGGCGCTGGCTCAGTAACAGTCAAAAAAACTACTTGCAAAACAGTAGGTGAAGCATCATGCCATAAGGTCACATGGGCAGGGTCACATGACACACAAGATGCTGTTTAAATCATGTGGTCATTTCTGTAATGACCTCAGTAAAGACAGTCCGGTTGTTTTAAAAATATACAGCCGTAGGTTTATTAAACAAAACATGCGTAATATATAGTAGGTGAATTGAGAGTGGTTTGATTTTCACTATTTCATATTTTGCCTTTTACTGCTGGACTAAATGGGAGGCACGCTAACTTAGTGTCCTCTATGCTTAATTTTATTGATCTCTGTGGGGAAATTCTCTTTTTACCTACCCATCTTGCCCTCCATGACACACAGACACATATAAAGGTGAGAACAAGCTTGGCAGCCACCCATAAAAACACCCATGGGGCTGGGGGTGTAGGCCCTTGCTCAAGGGCCCACAGACATGGCTATTCTACCAAGGTTGGGCTTGAACTGGTGACCTTCTGATCACAAGCACTGAGCCGCACACTGCCCCCAATATCCAGCGTGGTGGTGAGCGCAGAATGCTTGTTGGACTTCGGGAAAGGAACTCGCTGCTTGAGTTCCCGCACTCACTATTTGGTGGAGTCGGACAGCTGGTACTCCCGCCTGCGGTCGTAGCACTCCTGCAGCCCGCCGTCGGTCCACAGGCTGCGGATGGCCTCCACGTAGTTCGGCTCCATGACGGTCACCCTGTCCACCTCCACCTCACTGACGAGGCTGGAGAATCGCTGGAGAACGACAGAGAAGCCGTTTGAGGCGAAGAGGATGAGGTGCATCCACCACCCCTCTGTCTCTGCCTGACCCAGAGAGTGTGCAGATTCATTAGACCCACTTGTTCGCAGCCTATATGTATCTCTTCTGCGTAATGCGATCATGGGACCACACAGCCTATGTGTTGAGAGAAGAGAGTGGCAAGCTATTCCTATATCCAATGCAAACAAAGTGGAATGTGCCTGTTTCCTCTCAGCAGCTCTCTATTACGGTGCTCCGCTCTGATTGGTAAACCTAACAGCTTATTAGAATGATAAACAAAACAGTAACCAAATCCTTTCAAACTGTACCATTGGTAGCAGATGATGGGCCTGTACAGGAATCCCCTCCGCACTGCAACACTATCCTCGTTCTTGCTTACCTTTGCTACACAAATGTCACACACCAAAGCCACGCTTGCCATTTCAGGTCACCACAGCAGGTACTGTATAGGGTGTGTCGGACAATAGCACCCTGCTACACGCGTGTGGCTCTCGGGAAAGTCGACATGCTTCATTGCACCACATTCCATCAATGGCTCCAGTGACAATGATAAAGGCATCAATTGGTTAATAACAAACCTGACTCAGACCCTCAGGCTCAAGCGAAGGTCTAAAGTCCAGCCTTGCAGGACCTCTCCGGCATGATACACAGAACACGGAAACCCAGTGCTGGCTTTTTGGTCTTTAGTAGATGATTTGTATATAATTTGATAGGCTTGGGCTTCATAGCTCCATGGTTTCCTCCGAGACAGTGGGTGTGTTCAGACCTCAACACCAGAAGAAATGGTACCTGAGACTGTCACCCCTGACTGACGTATTAGTCTGGTGTCCTTGGTATCCTGGTACCATTCCTAATGCGGCAACGAAACACTCATACGCATTAGCACATTGAAACTAACATTGATTTACATACACCAGTAATATGCATGAAATTCATACATCTGGGTGTTTAAAAATCGACCACCGGGACAGATCGCATAGTACCACATACATACAATAGTGTCAATACTGAGATTTTAGACATTAATTAATATAGTAATTAATATAGTAATTATATCTAAAATTGTGAGAATGAGTCCTTTTGAACTACATGCACACAACCTACAACCAATAACCATTTTATGTTTTCCAGGGGCCATTGAATGCATTCTAATTATTAATACAATGTTTCACCCATCCATAATCCTTACCCAATACAGAACATAGCCTATGCCAGAAGTAACAATGCACAAGGCTGGGAGCAAAGTCCATCACAAACCATTCAGTAAAAGAAATTCAGAGACGCCAATTCGCCTAACTACTTGATCTTGGATTGCAGGTGGAATCCTATTCCTAGAGGTCTTAGGCTCATGGAACACATGGTACTGATCACCCTGTCATTAATGATGCTCCAATGCTACACGCGGTACCTCCACATGTCATTAATGATGCTCCAGTGCTA